ACCGTAATAAGAAAAGGAAAAATCTTAATAGGGGAAAAATCTTTCGTTCGGTCTGTACGTCTGATAGCCGCCGCGTTTTAAGTGCTGCTGAAAAACCGTAAGCGCCTGGAGGTCAGATGATCGATACTCTGCCATCGCAAACGAAGAGCAGACATCGCCGCTCGGACAACTCCAGCAACAATTGCGCAACAGAAGGTCTCACAAGCAAACGTTTAATCTTTGGTCCTCAACGGTCGACTGAAGCGAGGCTGTTTCACGGCTGTTGAGGCAAAGAGCGAGCGCAATCCTCGAGAATGATAAGGCATTTTTTGGGTCGCCGTTGGTGAAGTTGAGCGCACGGTAGCAGGCACCACTTCAAAGCTTCAAAGCTCGGATTTTCGATTCCTGAACCAAGAGGGGCTACATAACTCGCCATCTCATCTACTTTACTATCGGAATCTACCTGTAGCTTCAGCTACCGTATAATCAACAAGTAAACGGGCATCATTATGTGGTTCTGACCATGAACACAGCGGACCACGATTGTATGCCTGTTTCTGAATCAGCCACTATGGCCGAACTATGACCCTCGAACGGCAAACATAAAATTAATTACATAATTCGTATATTCTTACGCATCGAATTCTGTGTCCTCCCTTACCGATGCTTCTAAACACGGGAGATATACAGACAGCAAAGTTTCATTTTAACTGCCAACGTTTTAGCGAAACTACATCGTCCATCTTTACACTAAATAATCGTCAACTGCTTCCTCTGAGGATGGCCTACGTGGCTTGGCGTTTCTAATTGCCAATCATAACTTGACCATCACCATGCCACTATTCATTGTAGCTAACACTGCTGAAGCGTCCTGTTTATTAATTCCTTGTGTTGCTTTTATTTACCACTCACGTCTCGTGGTAATGTTTAATCAGCTATCAGATGGATCAAGGCGAATTGCAGCATGACAGCGCCACAGCACAACCGTTCGAACACCACAGACATGCAATCCGCTGTTTCGTTCATCGTGCCAACATACAAGGGGGTGGGGTGGGGTGGGGGAGGGGGGATGAACTCGATGTTCATTCACCGAAACTACCGGTTAAGTAAGAGGAGGAAACGGAAGAAAACTATCGCTCAGGCTGGCAGTTCTACTTCTAAACGGCAAACGGTCATCACATTTACATAGTCAGGTAAATTCAGACAGTCAGAGCATTCGACCCGAAAGCGAAAGCGTACCAGAACTTGAAAAACCGGTCGTCGGCAGAGTATCGACGACACAGCGGGTGCAAAGATGGCACCGACATGGAGGTGGTGGTGGTGGTCGACGCCGGAACCGACAGACGATTCGCCTCCAACAACCTCCTGCAGTT